TTTTTTTTTAAGCTGCTGACCTTTTTTTTTTTGACTACCTTCCAACAAGTTTGTATATGGTATGGGAGAGAGAATTGATTTCAGAAGAACTTGAAAGCCAACATTGATCTTCCTCCAAATCATATCCTTCCCCCGAGTCCCCTCCTCCCTCTCAAGTGACAGCTGTTCTTTTTTTTTTTTTTGCAATAATGGGGTTTGAACTCAGGGCCTACATCTCGAGCCATTCCACCAGCCCTTTTTGTGATGGGTGTTTTTGAGATAGGGTCTGTGACCTGTTTTCCTGGGCTGGCTTTGAACCATCGTCCTCCCGATCTCTGCCTCCTGAGTAGATAGGATTATAGGTGTGAGCCACTGTGCCTGGCTAGCTGTTTTGTTTGTGGGCACACCAAGGCCAAGTGATAAGAACACCCTGTGGTGGAATAAAACTGTCTGAGCCTGTTTTAGCTCTTGGTGCTTCCATAACAAATTCCTACAGTGTAGCAGCTGAAATAACACAAAGTTATTACCTTCCAGTTCAGAAGTGTGACACAGGAGTGCGTCCACATGACAGCCTCTGTTGGGGCTGGAGGCAAAGATCTTTTTCTTGGCTCCTTCAGGTCATTGGCAGGGGTCCCTTCTTTGTGGTAGGAGGCCTGAGATCCCTTTTCTTGCTGGATGTAAACTGAAGGCCATCTCAGCTTCTTGAGGTCACCCATATTTCTTTGCTCATGTCCCCTTCCAAGCTAGGGACAGTGGGTCCAGCACCTCTCACACCTTGACTCTCTCCTCCTCCCATTGACCTGCCTTGAGGGGCTCCTGGTTAGGTTGGGCCTGGCTAGATAATCCAGGTTACACCGCCCACCCTGAGACCTGTACATCTGCAGAAGCCCCTTTGCCATTTGAGTGACCATGCTTCCAGGTTCTGGAGGTTGCAGTGTAGACATCTTTGGGGCTGCCTGTGTTCACAAGGGAGACAAGCTGGAGTTACTACCACCAGCAGGGCTGCCAGCCTTATTGCTGATAGACCTGAGAAAATGTGACTTGACTGAATCTTGTTGTAAATTAAGATCATTTCAGGGCCAGATTTCAAAGCAAGTAGTTTTGAAAATTCTGGTTTGGGGACTCTGTGGTTGAGCAGACCATGCTTACCTCTGTGGGTGGGGAAGAGGGGACGAGCCCTGTGCTGCTTCTCTGCTAATTTAGATCTGGGAGGGGTGCTGTTGGGAGAGGCACCTGTGGATACCCAGTGTTTGCTTTGTCACCCAGCGCCTGCTGCGTGGCCCTGCTTCTACCCTCTGGCCGCTGGCCATGTTCTGCCAACTGCTCAGGCTGCCCATTTATCTATGTCACAGATTGGTGACAACTTTGACACCTACTTATTCTTGGAAACATTTTTCAAGAGGCTGAAAGTCTGCCATCTCCTTATTTTTCCCAAGAGCTGAATTAAAGTGATAAGATTCCCTGATGTCTGCCAGGTCCTTAAAGCCTTTGCTGTGACTTCTTTGCTGCCATTTCTTCCTCCGTGAATCTGTGCAGTGTTGGAGAAGCTGCTGGAGCATCTGGGACAGAAGGCACTTGTATTTTATGTATTCTAAAATTGCAGATACATGCATTTGTGGTGGGAGGCCTGAGATCCCCTTTCTTGCTGGATGTAAATATGTGTTATGTACCACAAATACACATTGTGTGTGTGTATGTGTATATGTGTTGTTTCCTTAGGACATTCTCTCTCTCTTTCTTTCACGGTACTGGGGTTTGAACTCAAGCCCTCACGATTGCTAGGCAGGTGCTGTACCGCTGAGCCACACCTCCAGCCTTATTTGCCCTGGTTATTTTTCAGATAAGGTCTTGTACTTTTTTTCCAGGTTGGCTCTGGACCGAGATCTCCCTACCTACGCCTCCTGACTAGCTGGGATGACAGGCAGGCACCAGCACACATGGCTTGTTTGTTGAGATTGGGGGCGGGGTGTCTTGATAATTTTTAGCCCAAGCTGGCCTGGAACCGAGATCCTCCCAACCTCTACCTCCTGAGTAGCTGGGATTACAGTGGTATACCACCATGCCTGACCTTTAGAACATTCTTAATGAAAGAACATTGTTAAAAATGTCTAAAATAAATGAGTAAATCTAAGCTTGTTAAAAATGAATGTTGTGTTCATTCATATTCTATCAGACTACCCAGTATACTGGGAACAAGGGAGTAGAATTGACACGTGCTGTACGTGTAGAAAAGATACAGATTGTAGGTACATAGCTGCTTCCACACTTGGCACCTGTGACAGGAAACCAGAATTATCACCACGGAGCCCTATCTCCTCCTCCCAGTTGCTGTCACTCTCCTGGGTGGTCACTACGCTGATGTTTTAAAAGTTTGAGAATGATTCTATTTAAGATATGGAGCAATGTTCTTACAGTATTGTGACAGTGCTTCTGAGAAGCAAGTCTCATTGGAGTTTAACCAGATTTAAGACGCGTTGCTCCTACCCTGGGGTGCATTTAAACACAGAACGGTAAGTTCTTTCCCAAGTGTCCTGGCTTTAGCAAATAGTTTGAGTCACGTACACAACTTTGACTCAGAGTTTATTTTCCAGTACTTGTGATCATTCAAAATACTTCTGCCTCAGATATTCACAGGTTGTTAAAACGACACTGTGTACACTTGGCCCCAATCAATGACTTTTCACCACAACGCTTTCTACACCATTTTTGATTTATTTGTTTTTGTCGTTATCTTCGAGATGGTCTCTCACTGTGTTGCCCAGGCAAGCTTCAAACTTTTGCGCTCACGTGATCTTCCTACTTGAGTGGCTGGGACTACAGGAGTGTTCAACCACTTCCAATTCTTCCACATAGCTTTAACTGAGATCAAGTCGGTATATTTTCTCTCGAATTTTGGATGAGATTCCAAAATTGAAGACAAACCATTTGTCAATAAAAGTGGCAGTCCTGTAGTGCACATTTTAACTATCCACCGTAACAAAGCAGAAATGGAAATTGCTTCTAACAAGCAGAGTGGGTAAAGTCTTAAGAGAAAATGGATTTGGGGCTGTAATATCTCTTTCTCCATTCTGTCCCTGTGTGCAAGGACATTTGGTGAAGCGTTATTTCTAAAAGCAGATCCATCAGAAGCCTCTTTCATTCCAAAACTGACTGCTTAACTAAAGCAGGGCATAGTGTGAATATCACAGAGTGTGAGACATTTTCAAAAAATGTTTAATGATACAGAAAATTTCTTATTAGTGTTGAGTAAGACTATGTACAGCAAATAGTAATTTTGAAAAAATATACACGTGTACACAGAAATTCATAACTTTGGCTCTAGTTGTTTGTAGAATTTTTTTTGGCAGTACTGGGGATTGGACTCAGGACTTCACGCTTGCTAGACAGGTGCCCTCCTGCTTGAGCCATTCTGCCAGCCCTTGGTGCTGGTTGTTTGTGAGTGATATATTTGAGAGCAATTCAAATTTTCTTAGTTTATGTTTTTCATTTTTTGTATTTTCAAAAAAATCAGAAAACGACTGCATAGGATCCATATTAAAAAGGTCACGTAGGTTTGGTAACTGGCTTTTCCTGTGAAATGAAGTCCTAGGGGAGACAGGTCACGGCTGGCATGTGTTGTGTTGAAGTCAGAGGTTAGAGAACCTCCACAAGAGCGGCAGCACCACAGACATCCAGAAAGGGTCTCCTTAAAAGAACGGAGCTTTCAGTGCAAGAAATACTAGCAGTCACTGCTAGAAATCCCCAAAGACAACATTCTCTGGTCCCCCAAGACACACTGTGTGCCTTTGTAGGAGAAGGCCCGGGGGAGGGACCTCAGGGTTCCAGAGGTGACCACCTGGACAGATGTTTCCTTGCATTTATGCCTAACCCTCTTAGTCCTACCCGCTCGGGGCCGGCAGAGCAGAGTAGGCCTTCTCCAGTAGGAACGCTTCATAGATGCGTGTGTTTTTTATCCTTCCTCAAGGCCTAATAGCAGCATAACAGACTGCACCCACGTTTGGGGTTTGACAGGTGTTTCTCCCCATAAAATCATCGTCACAAGATGGAGAACATTTTCATGATCCCTAAAAGCCACCCTGTGTCTTTGAGAGACATGATGTCCCCACCTTGTACCTCTGTTCCAGACAGCCACTGACCTGTCTGTCACCACAGATCACTTTGCTTGTATGGAATCACAGGCCAGGCACGTTTTGTTTGAGAGCGGTCTGTACCTTTAACCTTCACTTTTTCTTTCACTTTCTGGAGCAGGTTTGCGGCATCCGTTCTTAGCTTTTATGGAGGCGTTGTTAAAGTTGTTTCAGGTCCCTCTTTGGAGAATTCACCTGTCCGGGAAATGGGTTGTGCAGTTTATAAGTGAAACCTCTTCTGGCCTCGCTTTCGCAGAGCAGTTGGACTATAACCCTTGAGCAGCTCTGGCTTTAACACTGTGTCATTTGATGTAATGTTTCCAGTGACTGCTCAAAGGTAATTTTTCACATTTGTTTGAAATTAGCCCAGTGACTGGAAAAAATCAGCAGGGTGTAGGATTTTTTCATTTTTTTAAACCTAACACATTTTCCCAATTCTTTTTAGGCATTACAAGATATGCTTAATTGTTTAGTGATTTTTTTTTTTTTTGCATGGAGAAAACATTGTCCTTTAAGAATTAAAGTGGCAAAGGCATATTTATAAAAATAATATGAGCACACAGGCTTGTCCTATTTCATAGGAAGAAAATCTGCTTGACTAAACCTTAGATGTAAAGTATCACAATGCATTTTAAGCACCCTGGATCTAATCAAATAGAAATGATGATGACATCCACACTTTTGTCACTTGATTTTTTTTTTTTTTTATGGTCCCAAACCACACCCATGGTGCAGGCTGGCCTTTCTACCGAAACCAAGTTCTTTTGAGATTAGAATCTGTCCTGGTAAGCAGAACACTCAAGTGTGGAGTTAGTTGATTGTTGTCTTTGGTTAAATACCGACTTTCACAGAGAATTATCTGAGCACAGGCACAGCTGAGGAAGATTGCAGCTGAAGTCTTCTGGGTTCGTCTTTCTGGACCCCCAACCCCAGGTGACAAGGCCAGGAGAAGCAGGTATGCAGAACCTTCCTCTGTGTTCACAACAATGACCTCATCTCAGATTCGGGGGCGACTTTGCACATGGTTGGTACTTAGCCAAACTGCTGCAGGGTATTTCTTGGAAGTTCTTGCTTGCTTTGGGATTCTGGGTGCAGCTAGTGACCTCGGCGTGTTGGGCACACAGTTCTTTATTCTGTCTGCCTTGTTTTCTGTTTTGAAAACTATTTCTTCTGTAATAGCACTAACTTGTCAGATAAGAGAGAGGTGTTTTGTTTTTTTCAGGGTTGGATAAAAAAGTTAAACTAATTCTTGGTTGGACTTTGATTTTTCAGAAATGGATTCGGAGATACGTGTGTGGGGGGGGTGGGGGGTTGTGATGTGTGTTTTTGGTTTGTGTGTGTGTATGTATTTGGTTTGATCAAGGAACGGCTCTTCCAGTCTATAGTTTAGTCGTGTCTAAGCAAAGCTCTTTCTAAAGAGATTTTTCTAAAGAGATCCTACAGATCCCTCTTTTATAAAATCGCAGTGGACACTGTCCCCAGTGCTAGGGTTGTGGTAAACTTGCAGCCACGTTTGGAGCGTGGAGAAAAGGCCTCAGTTCTGAGACCTTTGTCATTACTTTTGCTCCTCTACATTTTCAAGAACCAGATGTGACTGGAGACTGTGTCCTTGTGTCAAAGCTTTTTTTCTTTTCCCCCCATCGTTTCGTTGCCCTTGGGAAGACTTAGGGCCTTAGTGGAACAGTTTCCTCAGCAGTCGTATACACATAAGCAAACATGTCACCTTTCATTCTGAGTGCTTTCGATGGTGTCAGAGCTCTGCCTCCTCAGCCCTGACAGCCATCCGTTAGCTATTTTCTTAGGAAAGCAGAAAGTGAGCCGGTCCTGAATGATGCATGGGGGAGCTCAGGTACCCATGCGACACCACACACCGGGAGCCAGGAACGGAGGGCTCTAGAAAGTCAAGTGTGTCCCCTGTGTGCAGACGCCTCACTCTCAGACCCAAGTGGAAAGGGAGCACTTAGGTGATCTTCCCTGTGACTCATCAACCATGTCAGATTAGTCACAGGATGGAGTCACTCTGTGACTCAGAGAAATGAACACCCTCTGACCAGTTCACCCTGGAAAGGGAACGCCATAGAATATTTTCACATAGTCAAAAAACCAAGAAACAACTCCCCGATGACTTTCACAGCAGCCAGAATCGCCTTTCCTAGATCATGCCTGGGTCCAACAAAGGCTGTGCCCCGTGCCAGTCTTGTCACAAGGAATGGCCAGTTGCTCAGTTGTGTTCTGTGGCACAGGGGATAGCATTCCTTTGTGATCCCCAGTTTAGATCAGCTTACCGCCCGAAGCGTGCAATTTGATTACCCTTATTGTGTTACTCTGCAGAGCTACAAATGTTAATGGACGTGGCCTCATCTGGCCATTTAAAAAAAGGCCACAGCCGTGACTTCCAGTCAGAGCTGGGAGGTTCTGTGCTGAGGGCAGCGCTTGGGCTAGGGCGGTGCAGAGATCTTAGACTCTGGCACTCCACACACTGCTGGCTGGGTTTTGTTCTTGTAGGTCTGGTTTCAGTCTCTAAAACTCAGGGTTGTCTGGATGGAATTGCTTTAAGAATAAAAGAGTTAAGAATCCTTAAGGATAAAGCTCTTAAGAATGAATTCTTATTATTCAATAAATTGAATTAAGAACAAAAGGTTATTGGCTACTTCTGACCCTGCTCCTCTGTTCAAATCGAGATTTCCATCCTGCTCTTTCCTTCCAAATGTTCCCAGTGCTGCTCTCGGCCTGCTGGGACAGAGGTACTGTCACCAACCGGGAGAAGCCACGAGTGGAGAATTCTTCCTTCTTCGCCTTGCCCAGCAGACATGGGAGGCTAAATTGTGTCTCTGTCTAAGAGTCTGCCTGAGTGGCCCTGACTTTTCAAATTGCTCAACTCCCCGTTGGTAAAAACGTGCCGTGCGCACGTCACTTCCAAGCTCTAGACTGAGCGTCTCAAATCTGAAAATCAGAATGTTCCAAATCTAAAACTTTGTTGATTTTGTGTTGATTTGGACTGAACCCAGAGCCTAGCCCATGCGAGGCCAGTGCCCCATCACTGAGCTATGTGTCCTGTCCTGAACGCCAGGACATTTTGAGGTCCACATGATGTCACAGTGGAAAATCCCACACCTTGACCGTGCGGGACAAGCTAGTCAATATGTAAATATATACGAAATCTCTATTTCTGTCCTATAAATAAATGTACATATACATATATAAATATAAATGTGTATATATATATATATATATATAGCACATGAAACAAATGAATTTCACGTTTAGATATGAGTTCTACTTCAAGACAGCTCATTATATATGGAAATATTCTAAAACATGCAAATATCATATGCAAATATTGTAAACCCCCCCCCAAAATCTGAAACACTTCTGGTCCCAAGCATTTCAGATGAGGGATGCGCAAGCTGTGTGTATCTTAAATTGATTATTCTATTCATGTGAGGTGTGTGCTGTAAGTACCAGCATGTTACCTGGACATACACAGAAGCAAATTTAAAGGAATAATGTGATTTTGAAAATGAGTTAGCGGTTGGAAGGCCTTATAACATCCTAAGCTGATGTCTCAGGGCACGGAATATAATGGGAGATTGCTGCTAATGACTGAACAGAAAGCTGGGTTTTACTTAATCTTGATTATTTGGAGCCTTTTGCCTAGTCTGCCATCACCTTTGCCCTGCTTTGTTTCCAGATGTAGCTGACCGTCATGGTAGAACTAGGGTGCCTACCTAGTTCTCCTCCACTTCTGTGATTAGATGATTTAAAGTCCCCAGTACTTCTGCAGGTGTCTTCCAAGGCTATGTGGTCACTTAGTGAAGGAAGGTCTGGTGTCAATTATTACGTAATCACTAATCAATCCACTCAACCAGACCGACACAGATTATAGCATGTCACAAATGCTGAAAGTGAACAAAGGAGTGATAGCCTGCTGTCTGTGCCCTCCTCTCCTGGGTGCCCCTCTGTCCTGGGGCTTCCCCTCCTGAGATGCCCCCCTGTCCTGGGATACCCTCCTCTCCTGGGGCACCCCTGTCTCCTGCATCCCCTCCTCTGCTGGGGGCTCCCCATTTCTTGGCCCCCTGACCCCCACCACCGGGCTGTGTTTTCAGCTGTTGGTTCCATGGGATCGTCTTTCATAAGGACCAAGTTGCCGGGTTACTGAGAATACACACCAAATATTTGTCAAGCAAATTTTGTTCCTTTTTCTTTGGTTTTCAAGGTGATCATGAGCTGCTCTGACATTTACTTTCTCCACTCTGGGTGTGGTGACAAGGGAGCAGCTTCAGTTTTCTCATGTGTAAAAGGGGGATTGGACTAAAGGATTTTCAGGGTGGGGGATGTGGGTTTTCTGTTTGTTTTAGGGGAAGAGGCCAGATTTTACCCCTTTTACTTTTCTGCCTATCTTGTTTTTTGGCTGATAAATGCCTACTAACTCATCTTTATATTGCTGGGAAGTTGTTTCTTTAAAGAATTCTGTTCCCACCTAGCAAGAGTGAGATCATGAGTTCAAGCCCCCGTACCACCAAAAAAAGAATGCTGTTCAGAAATCTAAGTGACATATTAGGATTTGCCTTTCCAGCCAAGACTTTGGAATACATGCTGTTCCCAAACCAGAACTATTGAAACCTCTCTAGTCTTCATGGCCACCCAGCATAAGCGTCACCCTGGCGGGGAAGGCCAGGTTAGAACCCGTGTGGGAAGAAGGATTTGCTGCCTCTCTTTCCTGCCTGTGGAATGCCACCTGTCCATTGTCACTGGACTGGAACATGTGGACGTGTTTGCATGGTCTGAGGCACAGCTGTCTGTTACTAAGCTGTGTACCTGCAAGTCTGCTCGTTTATAGATTGTGCTGCACTGAAAATGTTGAAGAATGCTGCGCCACTGGGAAAATAAGGGAAATGTAGACCAAGAAATTATTTTAAGATGCTTTCTTCCCAAGGAAACATTTTTAGAAGCCCCTAAGCTAGAGTTGTTAGCTCAGAGCCTGGGGACCTCCGGAAGGTCCAGGAATGGACTTGGAGGTGGAGCTTGTGCAGAAGCACCCTGGTGTTATGTGCAAAATTCAGATCCCAATGCAGTTTTAGGGGTGGAAATCCCATAGCCTTTTATCTAAAAGGCTAAAAATCAAAAGACCTTTAAAAATCAATGCAGAGGAGAAAAAGATATTTGAAATATGACCTGTTTGCATAAGTGTATCAGTCAGGTCCCTACCCCCAACCCACCCCATTTGCTTGGTGATCAGTTTACATACATTTGTTTAGAGACAAATGGTACTGGAGAAGGCGGGTGTACATGTGCAAAAGAATGAGTTCAACCCTTATGCGTCAGGCCAGATTGGATCAAAGACCTAAGTGTAAGAGCTCAAAGTATGAAATCCATAGAAGAAAATTCAGGACTGACATTAAGGACGTTGACTTTAGCAATGACTTCTCAGCTGTGGGGCGAAAGCACAGGCAACAGAAGCAAAAGTACCCGATGGGAACCACTGCAGAGGTAGAATTCCTTCAGAGGAAAGCCAGCCTCCAAGAGGAGAAGGGAGTAGCAAACTCCACATGGTAAGAGGATGGGTAGAGTGTAAAAGGGTCAGCTGCTCTTCAGTGATAAGAAAGCAAGCAGGCTTGAAGATGGGAAGGGACCCAGTGCCCAAGAAGCCTATGGAAAGACGCTCAGTGTCGCCTGCTGTAAGAGAAACGTGGACCAGGCCATAGTGAGGCAGTGCTCGTGCTGATTCCATGGCCAGTATCAAATGGACAGAAAATGGCAGGTGGGGGTGAGGATGCAGGTAAATGGAACCCTGGTGCACTGTTGATGGGAATGTAACGTAGTGCAGCCATTACAGAAAAGAGTGTGGCGGTCCCTCAAAAAGTTAAAAATAGAATTACTATATGATTCAGCCATTTTGCTTCCAGGTATATATCCAAAAAGTTTAGTGTAGGATCTTGAAGAGACATTTGCATACCCA